CGGGCTGCGCGTCCGCGGGCAGAGGGCTCAGGGCGCCCGCAGTCTGCAGGGGGGAGTCCTGGGAGTCAGAGCCTGCCTGGGGCCCCCATCCCAGAGTCCCAGGTACCTCAGGACAAAGCGCGGTCCTTAACGTTTAGGGTACAGGGCCGCGCAGGCCACTTTCTTCCCCGGCTCTCCAGGTTCTTCTTGGGTAGGACGGAGAGCGGGCAGTCAGAGGCAGAAAGAGGAACGTGCTGGTGACTTCCAGCCCCTACATTTGCGCTCTCGACCCTCCGCTTCCTTCCCTACTCCCTTCCAACCCGCCGGCACCACACCGCCCCTGAGCAGCGGACTTTCCCCCTGGCTAAGCGCCTCACCTGCGTCCTGGAAGGCTCCTGGGGTGGGACTGTTAGCTGGAAGGCAGAGGCAGGCAGGGAGGGGCTGGAGAGAGCCCCTGCTCTGCGGGTGGGGTCCCCGACTCCTTCCGCCCAGCTTTACGCTGCTCTGTTCCTGTGGGGCCGAGCCTTTCCCCTCCCGGATACACTGCTCCTCTGCATCCTGATGCCTGTTTCTCTCCCCTGGTGCCCCCTCCTCTTCCTCCTCGGCACCCCCTTTGGTCTCCCTCCTCACATCTCCCTACCCGGAACCCGGGAATCCTGCTTTCCAGCTGCACAGGTGCCAGCACAATGCCCCTGGTGACCATCGGACCCCGCGAGGTTACCGAGCATCGCTAGTGAGAGGAACAGGTGCCGGGACATGGTACACTGGGCCAGGGAGCCACGGAGAGGGTCGAAGGCCTCGGCTACACCTCTGTGACTGTCCCAGCAGCCGTGACTCCTTGTGGTCCCAGGAGCAGTCCCACCCTCCCTGGCCGGAGCCCATCTCTGGGAATGTGAGAGGCTCTGGGGCTGGACGGGGGGACGGGGAGCCCCAGGGCCCCACCCGGGCCCTGGGTGCATCTCATATCTCTGGAGGCCGTGGTTGGGGGAGGTCCTAGTTCCAGAACAGCTGCTGAGGTAGAGGACTCTGGGCGAAGGCCAAGGACCAAACAGGCAGGTACTGGGAG